TCACCACTAGACCAGTAGTCAATATTATGAGGGATAAAGATTAAAATTGTCAAATGACTTCATTTGATTTGGATGCACAGTCAACACCAAGTAGCGTCAGTCAAGAAGTCAAAGACATGTTGCATTTGAAAAATTAGCTATCATCCTCTTCAAAGTGCTATTGAACAAGAATATCAGTTTCAAGACTAAGATTTGCCCAGTCCAGCCGTGATCACGCTTTCAGTTGCTTTATATGCATTTGTATGTTGAAAAATGAATAAGGAAGATCAAAGAAAAATTGATGCCTTTAAATTGTGATGTTTTTGAAGAGTTTTGAATATCTCATGAATTGCTAAAAGAACAAACCATTCTTGTAGGAAGTACAGCCAGGCTGTTCCTTCAAGGCAAGGATGGTAAAACTTCATTTAACATACTTGGCTTGTCTGAAGGGACCAGTCTGGAAAAAGACATCAAGTTGGGAAAAGTAGAGGGTTAGTGAAAAAGAGGAAGTCTCAGATTGACACAGTGATTACAGGAATGACTTGAGCATGGTAGAGATGGTGAAGATGATAAAGGATAGGTTAAAATTTTTAATGTTCATGGAATCATTATGTATCGTAGTTGATCTGACAGCACCAAAAATACCACCAATGATCTTTATTCCCTGCATTTGGTATTTAGTAATATTTACTCCTCACTTATTGGCATTCTCATTCACCATTTTGCATTTATGACTATGGTAAAATATACCCTGTTTAATTATTTTTTGCACTGATAATGCACGTATGATAATAACCAGTGCTTAGGACTCTGACAAGATCCTTGACTTGCAGTCTTTTACCACCAAAGAGGGAATAAGAAATGTAGTCTTCTGAGGCACATGGGTGCTCAGGGTAGTGGGGTTTTGTAGTGGGTCAGCAAGAACAGGATATTGCCTAGTGGGTCCTGAGTACCCACAGGATCCTGAGCCGGGAAAATGATAGTCCCTAAAGGTGGGCTTGGGACTAGGAGTCTGACCACAGCTTCCAGGTTCAAAGGCTGGCAGGAATAATTGAACCATGGTCAGAAAGAGCACTGAGATGGTGCAGTTGAGGTTCTGGGGCATATGAGACATCAGCTACCTGGAACCTGTGTAGCATCTCTTACACACACTTCTTGATGCTCCGACACAGGTAAAGGTAAAGTACCTGACTACCTGGGTAGACGTCAGATCAGCCTATAAGTGGTCATTGACTGTTGCAGTTTTAAGCTTAAAGGCAAGAGAGACTCGGCTTGGCAGAAGCTCTGGATAGTTGATTCTCATAGTGGCACTGGTGTGGATAGAGACAGGACCACCCAGAAGGGTTGGGGGATGGTCAGTAAAGAGATTGGCCAGAAGACCAAGTGTGAGCATGCACGTTCCTTGAGAATCCAAGTTGTCCTGCCTGTGGTTAGAGAGCTGTTTCCTCTGACTCTAGGAAAGCCATCAAAGGCATTTTGGGGTCATTGAGATGAGCCAGGGTAGCCCATGCTTAAAAATAGTGTGGGTAGGAGAGGGGAGGGACACTGGTGATAAGGAGTGAAGGAGCACTTGGGCCTGCATGGCTTTGGAAGACTGCATAGCCTTCCTCTACCCACTGGTAATGGTTATCAACTTTCACAAAATGCCATTTATTTTTGCATAGTTTGGTTTTTTAGAATTTGTATGTATGAATAGGTGTGGACTGGGAGTTCTGTTTGTCTTCTTTTTTATCTATTCCTAATTAGAAATATTTTTATTTTGAGTGGAGTTCTGGTGGCCTAGTGGTAAGAAGCAGCACTGCCATCTCAAAGGCACGTGATTCAAATCCACCAGCTGCTCCACAGGAGAAAGATGAGCATCTCCTCTCATGCAATTAACTGCCTCTGTGAACCTGCTGGAGAATTAGCTATGAGTTGGTTCCAGATTGATGGTAATCAACAACAACAACGACATTCTATTTAAGCACTTCTGGATATAATTTTTTTAAAAGAATCTTGACAGCGTTTATTTTTGTGTTGTCATTGTTTACTGTCAAAATGGTTTGTTTCTATAACAATGTCTAACTGAATACCAAACTTAGTGCTATCACTTCAGTTCTGATTCATAGCAGTCTCATAGGATTGAGCAGAATTGCTTTTTAGAGATTTTGAGGTTGTTAATATTTTTTAAACAAAGCATGTTGGTTTTTATTCACTCAGTCATATATATTGTTTATTAACATTAGTAACAATACCTAAAATGTGATTGTATTTTGTCTCCTTCCTCCTTGTACTTCTTATTTCCATTAATCATTCTGCTTTTCCTTCAGGGCTTTATCCTTAGACAAATGCTGCTCTTTTGACTCTTTATAGTTAGTCAGTCTAAGGAGTAAGTAAGAAGATGGAAAGAATATACTGAGTCACTGTATTGAAGGGAATTGGCAGACACAGAAGAATTTCATGAAACAACATATGAGCAAGAGCCTATGGTGATGAAGTTCAGGCTGCTTTGAAGGAAATGGCAAAAAATAAGGCTCCAGGAGTAGATGGTATACCAATTGACATATTTCAGCTAACAGATGCTGCGGTGGATGTGCTCACCAAGTTGTGTCAAGAAATCTGGAGAACAACCACTTGGCCAACTGACTGGAAGAGATCTGTATTTGTTCCCATCCAAAAGAAGGGCGACCCAACAGAATGTGGAAACTATAGAACAATATCATTGATTTCACATGTAAGCAAGATTCTACTGAAGATCATCCAAAAACGACTGGAACAGCACATCAGCAGAGAACTCCCAGGAGTCCAGGCCGGGTTTAGAAGGAGTCTTGATACTAGGGACATTGTAGCTAATGTTAGATGGATCTTGGCTGAAAGCAGGGAATACCAGAGGAAAGTATATCTGTGTTTCATTGACTATGCAAAGGCATTTGACTGTGTGGATCATAACAAACTGTGGCTGACTCTGAGAAGAATGGGAATCCCAGAACACTTGATCGTGCTAATGAAAAACCTCTATGTGGACCAAGAGGCAGTTGTCAGAACAGAGCAAAGAAACACTGCATGGTTCAAAATTGGGAAGGGTGTATGCCAGGGATGTGTCCTGTCTCCATACCTTTTCAACCTGTATGCAGAACAGATTATCCAGGAGGCTGGGCTCTATGAGGAGAAATGTAGTGTCAGGATTGGTGGAAGACCTATCAACAATCTGCGTTATGCAGATGACACAACCCTGCTTGCTGAAACTGAGGAGGACCTGAAGCGCTTGCTGCAGAAGGTCAAGTACTGCAGCCTTCAATATGGATTGAGGCTCAATATCAAGAAGACAGAGATTCTCACTATTGGACCAATTGGCAGCATCAGGATGGATGGTGAAGAGATTGAGATTGTTTACAGCTTTAGTTTGCTTACCTCCACAGTCAACACGGTTGGTAACAGTGGCCAGTATTGCCATGGGAAAGTCTGCTGTTAGGGACCTCTCCAAAGCACTGAAGAGCAGTGGTGTCTCTCTGGAGACTAAGGTGCATCTGATACAGGCCATGGTCTTTGCAGTCACTTGTTATGCATCAAGTGTTGGACAATGGCTTGGCAGGATAGAAGGAGAATTGATGCCTTTGAGCTGTGGTGCTGAAGAAAAGTATTGAATGTACCCTGGACTGCTAAGAAAACAAACAGGTTCATCCTGGAGAGGGTTAAACTGGGCGGCTCCTTGGAGGCAAGGATTCTGGGACTTCATCTGACATACTTTGGATATATTGTAAGGAGGGAGCAGTCCTTAGGGACATCATGCTTGGGAGGGTGGAGGGACAGTGCAGAGGGGAAGGCATCTCTATGTGGTGGATTGATTCAGTGACTGGGGTAATCGGGATGGGTGTATCGGAGACAGTGAGATTGGCACAGGACAGAGCAGAGTTTAGGGCTGTTGTACATAGGGTCACAAGTGACTCGACGGCACATAAAAACAACAACAACAAGGAGTAAGTGTCTCCCTGGCACCACTGGTCACCTTATAGGATTGTCAAAAGAACAATCTAGGTCTGTCCTAGAGAGGGTAAAATCATGTTACTCCTTGGAGGCAAGCATTTTGAAGCTCCCTCTCACATACTTTGGGCATACAATGAGGAGGGACCAGTCCTTGGAGAAGGACATCATGCTTAGAAGAGTAGAGGGTCACCACAAGGGAGGTAGACCCTGGATAAAATAGAGAGACTGTGATAATGGGACCAGGTGTGTTGGAGATGGTGAGATTGGCTCAGGATAAAGCAAAGTTTAGGGCTTTTGTTCCTAGGGTTGCTATGAGTCATAGTCATATAACAACAGCAACAACAACAACAATTATTTTAAAGTTGAACCACTGGGGTGAGTTTTCTGCTGTTTCAACATTGACAGAGGGCTATAATCAGTATCAGACTCATAAATTTTAACAAAATACTCAATTTTCTCATATATTTTAACAAATGTTTTCTCTTGAGCAGCTTGTGTGTTCCAAATGTGACCTTTTGGTTAGTAGACCATCAGGGCTCCTTTTTGAGTTGGATCACTCCCTCTCTCACTGCCTTAGAGTTGATTCTGACTCAGTAACCTTCCATCAGGTTTTCAAGTCTGTAAATCATAAAGGAGGAGAGTACCTACCTTTCCACATTCAGAGGCATTCGTGAATTTGAACTACCAGAATCCAATGACCTTTCAGTTTGCAGTGCAACTCATTCCAGACTATAGCATAGTTTCTTAATCAAGCAACTTGATGTAAATTAATGAACATTTAGAAGGTTTAGGGTACTTTCTTTTAGTTAAAATTACATGATTACTTTTCTTGTAATGTTAGGCTAAAATACCACTAATAAGACAGAAATACTAGTTAGAACATATAGTAAAAGAACTAAACTGTAATTATTATTTATCCACTTTATCCCACCATAGCAGTGTTTCAGTCCATATTATTTATTAAACAATTCTTAACCCAGTTTTCTTGTCTTGATAGACTTTGAATGATATGTTTGCTTTTTCATTTATATTTAGCCAATTTCTGCTCTTTTGCTCAGGTGTAATGTGTTTGCTGAGGCCTCTTCTTCTGGATGTGGTCCCAACAATTCAACAGACTGCAGCTTTGGCTCTTGGGAGACTGGCTAATTATAATCATGACCTAGCAGAAGCAGTCGTGAAGGGTGGCATTCTTCCACAGCTTGTTTACTCACTGGCAGAACAGAATGTAAGAATATTTTAAAAATAAGTCTTATGTTTTTTTTTGTTGTTTTAGCTTTTTGAAAAGTGATACTTTGCATATAGTCCTATACTTGTATGTGTATAATAATTATAATTATTAGCATGTTAACGTTACCTTCAGTTCTATGAAGATAACTGAGTATCTTTCAAGAGTTTTGCTTTGAGACTGATGTTATAGCTTTTTCCCACTACTATTAATATAAGAAGAAAGTTCTGCTTTATGTGTAACTTCTTAAAAATTTTATGTAAAATATTTCTGAATTTAAAATGAATTTTGAGAAGTTACAGGAGAATTGATGCCTTTGAGCTGTGGTGCTGGAGAAGAGTATTGAGAATACCATGGACTGCTAGGAAAACAAACAGATTTATCCTGGAAAGGGTTAAACCAGGTCGCTCCTTGGAGGCAAGGATTCTGAGGCTCCGTCTAACATACTTTG